TTGTAATAGAAATTTTAATGAACTGTACGCATGTAGGTGCGCGTAAAATACGCAGAAATACGCTGCTCGGACTCATCTTGGTTCCATTCTGTTTTTGCGCCTTTTTACGCTGTGCAAATATACGGCTCCATACGCAGCTATGTGTATGGAGCCATTTATTTGCATACGCTGCATATGGTACAATACGCACATACGTGCATATATACGCGTGCATATCGCGGCAGTGTGAATGAGGCCTTACTGGAAAGGTTCTAAAAGTATAATCATAATGAGAACCTGCTGTAAGCCAAGAAACAATGTAACACAAACTATGGGAAGGTCAATACAGAAAAGGAGAGCAATTATTGCTGGTTTAGCATTTATTAAGATTTTATCATTTTTGCAATTAAAGTAAAATATGCCTTAAAATGTAATTTGAATCCAATTATTAAAATATATCTAAGACTTTTAAAATAATGGCCTCACCAGGTAGTGTTTAAATAAGATGCCATTTAAAATATGGAAACAATTACTTTTGAAATGACCTTAACATAATTTTAGCGATTGGTTTTACTCTATACTTTAAGATATACATATAGCATCACAATCACAGCTTTGTGAAATGTTTTCAGGTCTAATAGACCAATAAAAGGTTTGCTTCACTAAACATTAAAAATTAAGCTTTGTTGCATCTGAGGAGCTTAAGCCAGCCAAACATGGATAGAATTTTGTTTGTTTCTTGCTGAATCGGCCAAAACACGATTCGTGAGTGGCCCTACCGAAACCACCAGGCTGGACAGTAGTCAGACTTTCCTCAATTTACACTGTTTAGGGTGGATGTTGCAATTGAAAGGATTTTCTCTATGTGATAGCATGATGTAGGTGACAGGTTTGCTTTAAAGGAGACATAAAGCGTCTATTACTACCCAGGTGTACCCACCCTCAGCTACTGTACCCTGTGTGGGCTCTGGACAGAGCTTCTATACTCATAGATTGTGGGGAGATGAGCACACTCCCAGTGGCTGATCCCCGATATGATCACTGGACCCGGAGATTTTGTGTATTACACACCGATATAGCCGAAAAGAAGCTGGTGAAGCACATTGCTGCTCCTTCAGCTTCTTTGGTGATCCATAGGTGACATTAGAGTTCTAATAGACCCCTGATGTCACCATAGGAGGACCTGTAACTGTGTGTGTGCTAGCAAATAGGGGGCTTGTTAGCACCCTATGTGATAACAATAAAGTTAAGTTTAAAAAAAATCAATACATTAAAAAGAACTAACTTTTTTTTTAGGTCTGTGAAAGTTCTCATTCATCCAGGTCATGGTATATCTGTAAAAAAGAAGTCAAGGCAACTTCACTTGCAGTATTTTTCCTTGAAGACGTTTCATCCAACCATCTTTCTCAATTCAGAATTACTTAAATATGAATGAATGAATAAATATGGTGAATGTTGCTCCAATCCACATTTGTGATGAACAGATTATGTGGATTGGGGCAACATTCACCATATTATTCCCAGATAATTTTTTATCAAGTAATTCTGCATTGAGAAAGCTGGTTGGATGACCAGTGAAATTTCTTCAAGGAAAAATACAGCAAGTCCAGTTGCCTTGACTTATTTTTTACAGGTAACTTTTTTTTTAGGCCCCCACCCCAATGTATGAGCACATACAAAGTCAAACTTGCGTCGGGTGCACCTACATGTGATAACGGTAATTGCACCATATGTAAAATATCACCATGAATGAATATCAAAGTGAGAGCAATAATTCTAGGTCCATCAATCACTGTTAACACTAAATTGATTAGCGGTAAAAGCTTATAAAGCATCGCCTACGGACAATTTTTGGTATGGCAGTTTTTTGCGATTTTGCGGGTGCATGCAATTTTAAGGTTAGACATGTTTGGTGTCCATCTATCCAATGTGACCCCGTCTTTTATATTTTACCAGAAAATTGGGTAATAATAAATGTTTCATATCATAACTTAGGGAAAACATTTTTTTTTTAACTTTTTTTCTTTCTTAGAAATAAAGCTCTGTCTCAAAATGATATAAAATTCAGTACAGTATTGAATGACTGAATAAATGTAAAAGAACCACAGCATTAAATACTGAAAAATGGCCTGGATAGGTAGGGGCTTTAAGACACCAGTCTTTAAGTGGTTAAAGTATACAGTACATGGAAACTATAAAGTGTGAATTAAGTGCAGGTGAATATACAAATCACTCAGTTGAGTAGATACCATTTTATCTGCCAGCAATATCCATCCCACCTAAAGAAAATATTAGGTCTTGTGTAGTCTACTCTTCTACTCCAAGTCACTCATCATGTCATCCTTTTTTATAAAACAGAGGCTGAAAGGAAAATAGTAGTATAGCATGAAATTAGTGGAATGCAGGGCTTTATACCCTGACAGCTGAGCTGTATGCATTGCTGTCAACTATTATGCCAAAGCTCAAAAGAATTAGGAAAAAGCAAAGCATGATGGGTTTAGGGATTTGTTCTGTGGAATTCTCTAATTCAACACACATATACATAATTACAGGTCTTTAGACTGTGCAGTTCTATCCTACAACTTAATCTCGTTCATCTGATATTTATGATAAATGTAAAAGAAAATAGTTTTGGATAGCTTTAATAACCTTTATAGATTATGATTTTTGAGAAGCTTGTAATAAAGACTATATAGCAGGTAGCAATACTGACAAGAGTTTAAAGAATTGCAAGAATTACTTTTATTAGCTTCAAATGTTGTGTTAAAAATATGACATGTATATAACATATAGGAAAGATATTTTTAATTCTGCTTCTATGAATAGTACAAAGGGTTAATTTAGTGTTATTGCTAATTATCTCTTAATCATGTTACTTTGGCAATGATTGATGCATTAGTGTTGAAATGAGTCACTGTATTGATTTGAAGAAATGTCAAACAATTGGATTACTATGGCCAGAACAAAATAAAATACTAATGAGATGCACCCATCCCTAGATTTAAAATAAACAAGAAATAAAAATTTATTTGATATGCAAGCATCTAATTAAATAGGTTTTAGTAAGTACATTGCAAAAACTGAAAAAAGAAAAAAAAAAAGTAAAGAACATTTTGTATAAAAGGAAGGTGTCAAAAAGAGAAGCAAGCATTTTACCCACACCCTCACAAAGCTCAATCTGAAGTTATGTCTGCTAAAGGAGGAAAAGTAACAGGCGGAAGCAGCGGTGGTGCTGGTGGTGGTGGTGGTATCTGTGGTGGAGGTTCAGTTCAAGCAAAAGACTGCGGCAGTAAGTATAGCATATGATTGTAAGTAGAATGTGTTAAGTTTTGCAGCAAATGTTCTGCATTCACATTGATAATAGTCAAACAACCAGAAAAGGGACACAATTATCAGTCTTGGTAAAGAAAATGCTTGACAATTATTCAGCCATACCTAATTGTTAGTAAAACTGTTTAAACAAACAATTTTAAAATGTGACTCAAGTAACAAATTTAAATGTTGTGAATTACTCTAAAAACATTGTTTTGACTAAGTTGTATACTATTCGAAAAAATACATTCCAATAGACTGAATTTTAACTGTTAGGAGGAATAGATTTTGTGAAACTACACACTGGACTTGTAAAGAAACCAGTCAGGAATGAGAATTTGTGAGAATCGAAAGCCTTACACTTGAGCTACTAGAACAATCATAACCCTGAGGGACAGATGTACTGTATGTGTTGTTATTGAACAATATGATCTACATGCCAGAGCACAATTGTAAGCTCAGTGTTAGACTGTAAGGCTGGGTTCACACCTAGGCGTTTTTCCGCGCTTTCGTACTCGCGGAAAAATGCTCAAACAGGGAAATGCCATTATTTTCAATGTGCATGGTTCCCATCTGGGCGGTTTTCCGCGAGTACGAACATGCGGGAAACCGCCCTACGCCCAAAGAAGTACATGTACTTCTTTGGGGCGTTTTGGTCGGCAGTTCCATTGGGATACAGCCAAGTATCCCTCGGAAAGGCGCGTTTTCCGCGAAAAACGTGCATATTCAATCCGCCTAGGTGTGAACCCAGCCTAAGGCCCCATGAAGGCCGACTTGTCTTCTGCCTGAGTGCAGGGCTGGTAACTGAAATGTTGTGAGGTCTTTTGGATGAGGTTTAAACTGTCAAAATAACAAAGCAATTTATTTTATGTAATGTTTTCTTGACAGCACCTTTGTTATATGACAGATTTTAGAATGTCTGATATCAAAACTAAATTCAGGCAAGAGACAGGATGCCCTTACACAGCCTGCCACATTTCCTACAACAGGGAGAAAATATAAGTAACTTATAAATCAAGCTATTTCATGAAGGCAAATCTGCCCTATGTTAAGGGCGCACGTTGGATTTCAGGTTATTACAGATGCCCATTGCCAACTTGTTTCAGTAACACTGATATTCAAATGAACTTTGGCATAGGCAATTCTAACCATTTCTGACAATTATCTGTGTGCCTGTGTAAAAGATTAGAGCAAAGCACAATAATAATTTTGGTTATTCAGCATTACACTAAATTAATATATGAAAATCGCTACCAAGTTATCATGCACTGAAATGCATATGCACAAGGAGAGTGTGCATTCTTCATTAATATCTTGTGTATAAGGGATGATAATAAGTCCAACTGTTGATTTTCAGACTTTGTACATCTTGCTCAAAGGAAATGTAGAGATCTGATCAACAAGTAGGTTACATAAAATGTTATGAAATCCAACTGTAAAATCACAAAATCATATACAGGTTGACTATTTTATATGTAAGAAGGCAATAATAATGTATGGTAAAAAAAATCACTGCTTGCATTTTAAAAATCAAAAATCATCAATTTTTGCTCAAATTTTGCAAGATATTAGTATATGAAGTGTCAATATAAGTAGCAACTTGAAGTATCTCAAACTATCTATCTGTCTATCTCTCTTATCTATACACACACATACACTGTATATATACATACATTTTTTGTTTCAAATTTATTAAAGCTTTAATTTTTTTCTATAACCTCCAGCTACACCAGTTCAGCCATGCCAGGTCATCCCACAGCCATGTGGAGGTAAGAATGACACATTTTAAACTACACCAGGTTTCAAGTGGTCACAAATTAAAATTTGGCAACTTTGCACTTTGATATCAGTATCAAATCTTGTCTTGAATTGTATTGTGATTGTAATGTCTTCCTTATATTGTAAAGTGCTGCGCACACTGTTGGCACTATATAAATCCTGTATAATAATATTAATAATAATACTGCACTCTTATCAATTAGCAATGTTTCCAGTTCACCTTTGTGAACTATGGAACACCTTCAGATTATGTTAATTGAGATGAGGTGTGGGAGAAATATTATGCAGTCCTAACAATTGTTGTCCTATTGTGAGAACCATGCTCCTTCCTAGATACAAGTGAACTGAGTGAGCATTGCCCCCCATTAGGAAAATGTGTTATTGGCAGGATTACCAGGTGAAACTAAAGGAGCAAAACCTGAGAAAAAAAACCTAATGCAGCCACCACATCTAAGACCCAGTAAGCTGAAATATATTACATTTTTGCTCTTGGTTTCAGATATGCTTTAAGCCTTTCATAGCCAGAACCATTTTGTGCTTTTTGTACACCTTAAAATGCCCTTTTTAAACCTGAAAACTACTTAAACCATGTTCAGCTTCAAAATTGTGTGTGCCTGTGAAATGGCAAAAAACGACGGTACACAAAATTGCCTATAGGCGAAAATTTAAACGTCTCTATAGGTCATTGGTTTACAGGTAATGGCCCTAGAAACCATACTTAACATGTGGCACAATCATCGTTTTTGCACAAGCATTAGTATGTGCATGTACGGAGAGACTTAAAAAATTTTTGGGCGGTGTTTCTACTTTTTTCTTTAAATTAAATTTTTAAGCTTAACTTTAATGATATTAATTGTTTTTTTTTTTCTGGGGGGGATGAGGGGGGTAGTGTTGGTTATACTACTGTCTGTAACCCCCCAAGGGAGATTTCCCTTATTTTGTGTGCCAGTAACAATACAGTAAAGGGAAAATCTGTCAGACAGCAATATAAAATTAGGAAAGTGTATAGGTTGTCTAATTACTGGGGTATGGCAGCTTCTACATCCCAGGGAATTCCCAGTTTTCTTGGTTTATAGTGCACAACATAAGATTTAACTATTAAGCACCACATTGCATTTAATAGTTTAGATACAATTTTATTCCAGTATAGGTTCAGATAGAAGATCAAAAAAGGGGAATCCATGTGTCTTGGGGGCCTAAAAATTCCCCCATTTATCAGAACTTGAGATAGGCAGCAGTGTATATTGACTAAACTGAGGGTAATAGTGTAATATCACACACAGACCTTGTCAGCAACTGGTTTAGCAGCATTGGCTGATGGCACACTGGTAACAACATTTTATCCTCAATGCGGTCCATATACCAGGTCCTCCTTTTCAAGCCCTGATGGTGTTGTTTTTAGGCCCCAAAAATGTTGTATCTCCTTCTATCTGAACCTATATTGGAATAAAAACAGAACAGTGCCATTATCTATGGTATGGCAGTCCAATCTTAAATCTGCTGTTTAGCAATAAAAACGTGACAGAAGTCCTAACACTTTCCACTCTAATACAAAGCTTGTATTATTGTCTGCATCCTTGTTGGAGAGACTACTCCCCACACACACATTTCTTATTTAACACCACTCCATATGGTACCAATACAGAATCCCCAAAATGAAATGGGTTAAATATTGGTTACATTTATTATACAAAATGATTGCAGCAAAGTGTAAGAATGATTTAATAATTTGTTTACTTTGTCATTCTTTAGTTGGTGTTGACCCATGCCAACAATCTGGAGGTGGTGCTGGAGGAATAGCTGGAGGATTTGGCAGCGGAGCACAAGGTACTGATTACTGTAATAGAGCCAAGAAATTGAGAAACCATAGCAAACCCCATAAAAATATGTGAACTGAAATGCTTAAACCACTGTTTGTAAATCTATTCAATGAATCATTATTTACAATTACAGGTGTCTCACTGTACTGCTGTTAATCATCATGCTACATCATATGTGATGTAGCATGGTATTCTCTAAACAATCATCATATTTTTAAGACACTTCCTATGACTTGCATTTTTGTACAATAACTTTTGTAATGTCATTCTTAGGCATTGTTGACCCATGCCAACTTTCCGGTGGAGTTTCTATTGGAACTGGCGGAGGATATGGAGGGCAAGGTACTGATAGAAATCAATATCATAAGAAGCCCAAATAAGTTATTTAAATTATGTGAAATTAAATGCCTTAACAACAGTTTGTAAATCTAAACTAGAAACTATTTTTATCATTTACGTTACATATGTCTCACTGTATAGATATAGCCGTTAACCTCATTAAAGCATATTCGATTTAGCAAGGGTTTCTTTTAATAGGCATAACATTTTTTTTAAACAAATTTGATAATTAGTGTGCTCTATCATTCTTTAGATGTTGATCCATGCCAACATACAGGTGGTGGATTTGGTGGTGGAGCACAAGTTAATAAAAAAAGCCACTAAATAAATAAACCCTCTAAAATATGTGACATTAAATGCCCAAACATCTGTCTTTATATCTGTACAAAGTCACAGAAGTTTCTACTTCCTCAATGCATCTATGGTAAATGATTTATCTGATTAAAGTTAAGGATGAGGTTTTTTTTCTGTAAGGATTTCCTTTTTCAGAACTGGGCTTTTGTTTTAAGGGGTAGTAATTTGGGTTTGTTCATTTCTTTTGTGGACTATAAAATGTTATTACATTTTGTTCTGATAAGACTTTTTTAGGTTTGGGATACTCAGAGCACAGAATTCACTTATGTTGACCATTTGTTTTTGGAGCATCATTGAAAAAAACAAACTGTGTACAAAAACAGTGTGCAATACGCACTGCACCCCGGCCCCATTGAGTCTGCATATTAGCCTATTCAACCTGACAAACAATCCTGCTGCTGCCCACTTTTTACACATTTGTATCTGAGACTTTAATAGAAATTGGCCAGTGGCAGGACAGTTTTTCTATCAGAAAGAACAGGGAAAGCCTCAGGGAACTGCAGGCCATTTTTTATCTGCTGGGCAAAGCTGATGTACTACTGCTTTTTTTAAATAAATATGTGGCTGCTACTAATACTACCTGAAGAAAGTCTGTATTGTTGACTGAGCAAAACTGAAGTGCTGCTGCTGCATGCAAGCAAAGCTACTTTTTTAAGAAAAGAAAAAAAGCGATTTCACAGCCAAAATATGCAGTTGCTGAGGTTGTCTGGCAGAATTCTGCTGTTCCCCAAAACATCAGGTACAGCTTTAAAGCATCCCCCCACACTTGTAATTGCTTAATTTCCATGTCACCCTCACACTGACATGAAAAGCACCCTGTTCCTGCTGGACGTTTTTTTTTTTTTTTTAATTAGCATTGGAGAGGTCCCTTATGGCCATGACCAGTTTCCAATGCCTCGTTTTGAAAATACTTGCCTACTAGCCCTACAAACAACCAGAATATGCTAACAAGATTCACTCCCTATCCTCTTCAATGCAATTCGTGGCAAAGTTCAGATTCTCAACATTTCTAACAGTGTTCACCAAACTACTACCTGACTGAACCTGGATGCATGACATATCTGATTTAGCACTGTACTTCTTTGATAAACATGTTTTGTAACATACCTAATAACATCTAACTTGTATTCCTGCACACATCTTTAATACTTTGTATACTTTTTTCTTCTTTAGTTGGGGTTGACCAATGCCAGCAAGACAGTGGGAAAGGGATAGGTGGAGGAGTTACTGTTGGAGGCACTGGAGGAAATGCTGGTGGAGTGAAAGGTGGTAGTTGCGGTGGAGCCAAGAAATAATTTTCCTAAAACATGTGAAATTAAATGCCTACACAACTATTTGTAAAACTGTATTATGTATCATTATTTACGGTTAATGTAAAATTTTTCCCATTGTATCTATAATGCTGTTAATCTGAATAAAACATATTTGATTTAGCATTATATTCTTTTGATTAATATTTGTTTCAATTACCTAGCAATATACCTGCACACTCTGTTTCAACAATTTTCTTCACAGACTCACAAAAACCGATGCTACATATGCCAGAAAAACTGGTTCATGTAGTCGCATGTTTCACAGATGGCATACATGATACCATAATGGATGGACATTGAGTTCTGCAACCTAAATTAAAGTACATCAGTGAAATCCACGTTAAGATACAATAGCCCTACATTTCTGAACACACCATACATTTGTAACAAGTGTCACGGCAGTCCCACGATGACATAGTAGTAATATCAATCTTGTTATGCCATAATATTAAAAACATTCAGATTATGACAAAATATAAATGTCTTTCTCGATTTTGACACCATACCATACCCACAAACTATTAGGTTTTTCGCTCTAAAACATTGCCCTCACAAGGTTTTCTGTAAGCCTGTAATATGGAACAATCCCCTTAGTAGCTATTAGATTCCAACTTGCTTATGGCTGCTATCAAAACACTTGTCTCTACTGCTCACAAACAGATTTAAAAAAACTGCTTAAGATACATCTATTCTCTCTGATTTCTAAACTGTTAAGCAGTAATGCAACCTGAAACATCAAACATGAATGCTTACTTCACCGTATTTATGCCTAAATGGTATGCATAGACATGAGAGGCCTGCTATAGCTATTATGGTTCTCACCTGATAAGGATCTCATAGGTCCATGCAAACACTGCCAGTCAACAGCTCTTGGCGAAGAGGGAACAAGAGATTAGACTGGAAGAGTTACCATCATAACTGTTCCACATATTAGCCAGTGCTGGCCGCTTCTTCTGTGCTATCTGCCTTATCCTCTCCATTAAAATAAATTTATAGCATCAGTATAGCGAAGCTTGGAAGTGTGCAGTTAATGCAGTGGCATGCAGACTTATGACAACACTTTAAACCAGGGTTAGACATACGCCAACCCTCCAGTTGTGGTGAAACTACAAATCCCATTATGCATCTTCCTCTGAGAGACATGTCTATGGCTGTTAAAGTCTTTCAATTCCTAAAGGGATTTGTAGTTACACCACAGCTGGAGGGCCGGAGTTTGCCTATCCCTGCTTTAGAGGGTAGTCTGACATGAAGGCACAATTAAACTGCTATCAAGCTAAAAACTTTAGCCAGGAAAAGACACTTCCAGCACCTGCCTATTTATGTAGGAATAATAAGCTTTGCAAACCTATCTAATCAATAATTCCCCCTGGATGTCAGTCGGATAGCTATGTCTGCTTGCTCTATAAACACAAAACTGTTGTCTGATCTGGGTGTCAGTGCTCATCTTATGTCTGCGCTCAGCTTACTGCACACACCCTGGCTTTAAAGAAAGGTATAATGTTACAACAATAGTAGTAAGTAATAGAGAAGTGAGAAGGCTAACTGCAGCAGACTTATGGCATCAGTGGTATTAGGGGTTTCACATTATTCAACAACCAAGGTGTAGTCTGTCCTCCTACACTAATCAAATGTTTTTGTAGATCTTAATTTCTTTATGTGTCCTTATTGGACAGTTTTATCCCTCAATTCTTGCTCTGGTGTCTCCGTAATAATAATACTACAGTAAACTACCCCTTATCCGGCATCTACAGGGATTGGTAGATCCCGGATAAATGTAGTTTCTGGTTGCTTGAGAGTTACTATTAAAAATAAGTCTAACTAATGCCATACCACAAACTATACTATACCTTATTATAACAAACTCTGTATTGACTTCATATTACTATTGAAATGCAGTAATCAAAAGCAAATTAAGGCAAATAGACACAATCATTTTCAGGATAATACATGCCGCAGATGAGCAAAACAGTGAGTACATAGGGGATTTTTTTTTCTGGTTAGATGAGAGTTCTGGATAGTTGAATACCGTATAACTGAGAGTTGAATGTATAAGGCAGCTTCTAAAATAAGTAATCATTATAGGGTGAATACCTGTAGACTGACACAGCAGGGAGAGGTGTCAACCAAATGCGCAGAGCCACAGAAGTCCTTTTCTGCTGAACACAGCAAGCAAAGGGTATTTTAGCTCTTGACCGGGGTGTAAAAAAAACAAAATGGCAAAGCACCAAACTTCGGTGGTTTTGCAAATAAAGTATTGTGTAGATAGAAGGAATAATGGATTCTACAAATCAGCAAATCCTGGTGGTCAATATCCGATGGTTAGTATAGAAAATGAAGCTGAAGGTGCACATACACTGTTCCTCAAAAAACGGCCAAAATGCTCACAGTGTGTGCCTCTGTCGGCACCCTTTCGATCGGCATCCCTCCATCAGCTGATGGAAGCAGCTGGTCTGAAAGTCTTAGATCGTTTAGAGCTGGCATCCAATGAGCTGCCCGCTCTGGTTGGGTATTCTGACAGGTGCCGGCGATTCCTGAAAACAGCAGCTTTTCCTCAATCAACATGCTGTCACTGTTGATGGAGGAATCGCGCCCGCAGGTTGAATTAAACAAATAGATCAATGCATGGCCAGCTTTACCCTGAGTTATGCTTTGAAGACTTATTCTTCTCTGTGTTCATTACTTTACTGCTAAAGAATTGCAAAGACGTCACATTAAGACATCAACACATTGCAGTTCCCCTGCTGTGATGCTGTAAAGGAGGCAAGTATGTACAGTAGGCAACAGTTAATTTTAAGATACCTTTGAATAGTATTAGTAAGCTCCACTCCCTCAATACTAAATCCTTCCCTTCCATTTAAGCCTAACCTGATGGACACATAAAGGCACAGGAATAAAGCACAGCTTCTCCACAACTTTAGCAGGGGAAAGACAACCAGGTGCTCGCTGGCAAGAGTGTATCCTCGCTCCAGCCAAACAGGTATATAGTAAAAGGAAGAATCTGGCCACACTCCGTTCCACACTGAATCATTTTATTGAAAATTTGGCAGTGGCCTGCTGAAGTCTGCTGCCTCTAACATGTTTCACCCAATTCTGGTCTGGATTCAGCGCGGAACGGAGTGTGGCCAGATTCTTCCTTTACTATATACCTGTTTGGCTGGAGCGAGGATACACTCTTGCCAGCGAGCACCTGGCTGTCTTTCCCCTGCTAAAGCTGTGGAGAAGCTGTGCTTTATTCCTGTGCCTTTATGTGTCCATTCATTTTTTGCACCCATGTTATAATCCACATTTTAGGCCTGAAAATTACTTAAAAACCCCAAAGTAAAAAACAAACAAATATTATATATTTTCTGAAAGCCATGACCCTATACAATAATATTGCAGTTGCAGATTTTTATGTTGCACGACATTAGCGCAACTTATTAAGAAACCCAAAAATTTAGTGAAAATGCTCTTCTGTTCAATTTAGTGCCCCAAAACACAATATAAAACCGTTTTTCCCCAAAAATATAACAGATAAGGTTACAACAAATAGATACCCAACATGCCCAGGGTAAAAATTGTGTGCGTCCGTGAAACTGCAACAGAATTCAGTACCCCAAAAAGTCCATACACAACGCTTTAAAAGCCCCCACAGGTCATCAGTTTAGAGATACGTGTACATTTTGGCCCTAGAATTATTGCTCTCACTCTGGCATGCGCGGCCATACCCAACATGTGTAGCGCAAATTAAATACATTTAATTTATTTTTAAAACTTTTTTTAACTTTACTTGCTATCACATAGGGGGGCTTACAAAGCCCCCATGTGATAGCATAATGGCAGTGACAGGTACTCTTTAAGGTGATGCTTGGGGTCCAAAAGATCCCTAGTGTCACCTTTACACTCTAAATAAGCTATTGAAGTGCCGGATCGCAGGAGCGATCTGGTGGCCGCTGAGTTGCCAGAATCGCTTCTGCTGTAAAGCTTCTCTCCAAAACGGAACAGACTCACGGCGGAGTCTGTATAACCCCTTCAGACTTCATGACGGTCGCGTTACCGTATCGCAGAAGCTTCTGCAGTAAAGCTGCTCTACAAAACGGAACAGACTCACGGCGGGGTCTGTATAACCGCTTCAGACTTCATGACGGGATTGTCCAGTCACAGGTCATGAAGGGGTGTAGATCCATAGACATTTAGAGGTTGATTTCCTAAAAGGCAAATAGGCAGTTTTCAAAGGAATTTGCACTTTGCAGGGCAAGTTTCACTTAGCTTGGTGAATGAGGTAAAAATTACTCCACAAAGAATACCCAATCGTGTGCAAGGAATATTAAAAAAACAAAACAAAACAGTATGCACGTACAAAACATGCTTGCACATGATTGGACAATGGAAGTCAGTAGAGCTTCACCTAATGTACAGTAGGAAAAGGGTGCTTTTATGTGGCTTCACTAAACTGAACTAAGTTTAGCTGTTCCCCAAACGCCCTGGTAGTGGGGGAGGGTACTGAGGGCAGAGGAGCCATAGGCTCCTTTTGCTGTCAGTCAGACGGAGTGGTGGAGGGAGTGGGGGGCGTGGCTTGCTGCAGGCTGTGTGTCTATGGATGCACACAGACAGGTGCGGTCACAGCCCAGGGGGGCACATGCACGGGTGTCTCCTCAGCACCCGGCTAGCTTAAGGAGACACCCGCAACAAGAGGGGAAAGTGGAGAGGTTTGACAAACTGCTCCACTTCCAAGCAATATAAAGAAAAACTGCAAAACCATGTTAAGTGTAGGCTTTCTCTTAAAAAGAAAAAAAAAATCAAAAGAAATCAAAAGGTTTAATATCACTTTAACTCTTCCACAATCAATCCTTGCCCTAGACAAATTAGTTTGGTTTGGTTTCGGATCCATTCGGATTTTTATTTGTTTCGTTTTCTTGATTTTAGATCTGAAATTTGATTCGGTTCAATATTCGGATTTCAGATCTGTCCGAATTTTCACTTCGGAATGAAGTCACATGACCGTGCCTGTAATGCAACCCCCAACAGCCAAAAAAAACTGATTGGCCAGAGAACAGTCACATGTCAAAATTAGTTTAGTTTTGAACGAAATTTGGACAGATACAAATTCTCGTTAAAAGTGCATTCAGATTTGTTTGCACTTGGATGCGTTAGAATTCGGAAATTCAGATGCAGATGTATTAATTTATTTATGCAACAGTAGGACCTTGAAAATATTTAATATGCATGTATTTCAAGTATAAGATTTAACAAAATTAACAAAATTTAACAAAATTCGGACGAATATCCAATCAAATTAAATGAAATTTGCATGTCTACCTTGCACACTGCTTCAATGGAGACAGGCGCACAATATGGTGACATGTAGGATTAAAGTAGGCCTAAAACACAATAAGACACCTCCAGCAGACACAAAAGCATTCATCACTGGATGTACAATGTAAAGTTCTATTTCCTCTGCTTATGCCCATTTGTTTGCAACTTAAAGTACCACAGTCACAAAAAAATAGTGTATTGTGTTAACAGTATGTGGTAACTACTGATATTAACATTCAGCATGTTAATTCATTCTTTATTTGTATTGTTCTCCACATTTATTTGCAGACTGAGGCAGGGGTAGGGTTTTTATTAATTTTTATTCATTCATCTTTAGGTGCATAGATGTTCAGTGCATAAAATGCTTAGTTGAGGCCACTGTTGCTTTAAAGTATATGTAAACCAAAACACTAACATCCTATGCAAGCTTAAACATTTTATGTAATTTTACAAGTTGCTTTCATTCTTTTGAAATCTGAAGCTTTCAGAACATTTCTGGTGATCCTGCCCTGCTGTTCATGTACTTTCTGTTATGAGGTCTACCAGTTGTGCTCCTGTCAACTGGTCACCCTGACACATGCACCCCTGGTGGAGACTACAAGCTTCTGTCTCAACACAAATTGCTCTGGCATGCTCTACTGTTGTTACTATCAGTAATCTGGTCTTAAGCAATAATGTGCAGCCAGCGCAGGAGTGAGCGCAGATGAAACTGGAAGTGGCTGAATGAGGCTGGAGGAGATCAGCAGCAATGGGGTACAATAAAAAAAATGAAAACAGTGATTATGAAAAAGAAAACAATATTAGAATAGTTTATGATACACAGTGTTTTAGCAGACTAAGAGGGTTATTCACAGAAGAACAGAAGGATCCAGCCGTAGCTTCAGCTGATCCTTCTGCTCGCTTTGGCCTGAGCCGCTGCTCTACAGGCTATTCACAATAGCCCGTGCAGCAGCCAAAGGCAGCTGAGTGCATATGCTTCGGCTCGGTTGAGCCGTAGTGACACCCAAAGGGCCAACCGCTCTCCACACAAATGACAGCTGGGGGAGGAGCCAGCCGTGATCTCACATCTCGCTCTGCTCAGTTGTAATGACAGATCAGCGTCCCCAAATTACCCAGGGATGCTGATCTGTCATTAAACAACTGGGCGGAGCAGGCTGTGACATCATGGCCTGTTTCGCCCAGTTGTTTTTTTCTGCTCGGGACCTGCTAAAAGACTCTGGCAGGTTCCGGCCAATAGTAAACAGTTGGGCGGAGCTAGCGGTGATGTCAAAGTGCTTTTCCAGGAGCAACCCTGGAAAAACACCCTCCTAGTGCCAAGGGGGCATGTGGCCTGGTATGGCGGGGGGGCTCACTCATCCCACCCTTTCCTACCCTGCTAGGCCATTGATCAGATCAAGGGTCTGGTTTGAAATTTTATGGGGCAACTCACGTCTTTTTTTCCACATTTTTGGGGGTGGGGTTCCCCAAAACCTCTTCCAGACCTTAAGGGTCTTTTTTTTCAACTTTTCTTTAACGTTTTTTTCCATTCTGCTCGCTACCTCAGAGGTAGTGAGCAGAATAGCCGAGCCGAATGGCGCTCAGCAAACGGCAGCGAGTGAACTGCTGGAGGTTTGGCTCAGCCGATCCAGATGTTGATTATAGCTGATGTACGGCTGAATTCAGCCGTACTGAGCTGAAGTGAATAGCCGAATGTTGTTCGGCTCGGTTATTCACTCGGCTGCCTTCAGCAGCTGAGTGAATAACCCCCTAAATGTCATCCAGTTTGGGTCAAGATTTACTTTAAATGATTGTCACAAGCAATCTTATACTTGAAATACATGCATATTAAATATTTTCAAGGTCCTACTGTTGCATAAATAAATTAATACAAAAAAGAATCTACATTTAAATAATAAAAGAGAATGATACATTTCTATTTTTATACTGTTAATGTTATGCATAAATTTTTACAATGTGAATATACTATATTATTATCCTAAAATACATTTTAGATTCAGCAGTAGAAATTATAACGTTCTAAGTCAGGCACTGTAAAACGGTTGTTTACATGACTCTTCAATAAATGATATAGCTACCTCACATAATGTGTTTTATAACATCTTAAGTAAAGCTCAAGCCTTGGAAACACCCTGCATTCAGACTACACGCATATACTTGCAAGGGTGAATGATTATCAAATTATAGATATTACTCTTTCTTGTAAACTTGAACAGGGAATTAAACCCATGACAGCCAATGGGACGCACTCCATTAGCAGAAGTATAAAAGGGACCTTCTCTAACAGAGGAGACATACTACATTTGTTAAACTGCTCTTGAAGGAATCAGGTTTTGCAAAACACAGAAAAGTCATGTCTGGAGCTAAGAAAGGAGGACATGGCCAGAGCCAGCAGAGCCAACAAGGACATCAGTCCGGTGATGACCATCACGGTGGACAACAAAGCTGTAAGTATTAATACTTTCTAGGCATTTTATGTTTTATGTATCAACTAATCAAAACAGCCAAAAATTTATAAGGGTATATATGTGTCTATGTTTTCAAGCATACACTATGAAAAGCTTCTGGCCTGAAACCAGTATAGTAAAGAATGAAGATGCTAAACAACTAAGGCAATTTAAAATGCCTACACAGATTACATTAAGTACAAAGGCCACTTCCTGTCTAAAAAGTCTAATGAAAACAATGTTATTGTTAGGATTTGTTAATTTAGCATAGAACATACAACATACTAAATGGGATGAAGAGAAAGCTAATATTTAATATTGACTAACAATAGCTTAACCTTAAAGTATAATCAGAGGAACTCATGTTACCAAAACCTTAAACATAAGAGAGTAAAGAAAAAGAAACTGCATAGAAATAACCTTTTTTTGACCACTTCAGCTTTTATACCTTTATATTCCTTATGAACAGAACTGCTATTGGCCTTTTATTCTTAATAACTGTCATAAATCTTATAAAGTGAAATGTGAACATTAAACCATATAACACATGTACCTTGCAAAATGGATACAACCATGTGTAACTTATGTACATGCTCTGGTTGTCCAGCATTTGGAAAACTGCTGACTATTACCAGCAACGCCATGCAACTCATTGGGGGTGATTTACTAACCTAACACACGCACGCACGCACCAGGTGCGTGTGATTTTCACACAGCAAAACGTATTTATCAACCAAAAAGTCTCTAAAAGCATATTTCCACTAATGCCATATATGGAAAAATCATGCACATGATGCATATATAATGCTGCTTCACAGTTTAGACAAAAATGGTTAGCTCATGCATTTACATTCCTGCATTCATCAACGCAAGCAACACAACATAGAGCTAATTTACACAACATCACCTTGCAATTCATGCAGGGCTTTGCACAACACACCTGCTGGGTGTGTACACACTACAAAGGTGTTTAGATTCCACCCATAGATCATGCTGGGAGGGAACACACTACAGAGGTGTATACATGTTCGTGGTGTGTTTATAAGGTTAGTAAATCAACCCCATTGTGTTGCTCAGCTCCCCTCATGCTCTCCTACTCTAGTTGCTAAGCCTGACTAGAAGATTTTCCTAGCAACATTGTTGACATTTTTATGCTATATTTCCTATGATTAAATTGCTGAAGTGGTAAAGAAAAATGTAAATAATAATATTTTATAGAACCCATACAATCTGCGTGTGGGCATGTTAAATGTTTTAAGGCAGGCATATCAATGATGTTTTTATATGCTAAATGCACTCAGTCCCTCTCTGCCTTCTGCCCCAGCCTTCAGTGGTTTATGGATAAGAAAAAAATAATGTGCCAACAGCTGTTCTCCAGTTGATACGTTACACATGCTTACATCATTTTGTGGCTAACTACTTATGTTTTATGGCCCATTTTTCTGTTATTTAATATTGTAAGTTGCAATTTTCCCTATAATATAAAGTATATAAACTTTTCTATCTGAGTTGGACCAGTATAATTTAAGGTATATAAACAGCATGAAAATATCTATAGCCATAACATGCTTGCATTAACAAATGTTTTATGTATCTGAAATAGCTGGTGGTGCCGGACAACATTCCCAAGATCAGAGCTCTTGCGGAGGTAACAGAAC